GATTGGAGCGATTTTGCACCAATTGCAGGAGCGACGGATCGCTTGAGCGATGCGAGCGACGGGAGATTTACCCGATGGCGCCGAATTATCGGTGGTCGGCGGTGTAAATCTCCCGTCGCTCGCATCGCTCAAGCGATCCGTCGCTCCTGCAATTGGTGCAAAATCGCTCCAATCGCAAAGTCTGACATCGGCCACTCATGGCATATGGTGTTACGAATTCAGTCTAGAAGAGCTGTTATTGTCGATGCAAGTCAAAAATACAGTTATGATCAAAACACTTGTATCGCTCGGAAATCGAATTTTGATCTTGTGCTACCTTAGCTTGTTGATTTATTCATGGGCCATTGATTTCGCTATAGTTATGGTAAAATGCATAGTTAAAAAAAAATTAGCGATTAAGTCAAAACATCCACAGGGCTGCAACAAAGTCTTACTAGTAGCAGGGTAAAGAAAATGTACATTTGATTGACTAGATTTTTGTCCCGTAAATATGGTGCAAAAACTCATATCATTATCTAGTGGCCTCATTTTGCACCGCGATGTGCGGCGAAAAACAGTACAGCAGTTATTTGAATGGAACTCAAAAACACTGTTTGTTTGTTTTAGAAAGGTTTTGTGGACAGACAAATACGCACACCGATATTAAAGAAGCCAACTTCTTTGGATCGAGGAATCAGTATGTTGGTAAGCTCTTTTGAAAGTATTTCGGCTGTTTTCTTCCGATGAAATAGATGATTACTTGTCTATTATTTAGTTGCCGGATCTGATTGCGGGTCTCTATTGTTATGGGAGCGTAGCTCCGGTGTACTTGTTGCTGCATGGAATGCTGACCAATCAATCCTTAACATCGTTCAACCACATCCGACTCAATTCATGCTAGCTACGTCCGGCATTGAGGAAGTTATCCGATTTTGGCAACCTATGGAGGAGGGCAAAGAAGTGAGTCAAGTGATTTCCATTTGTAGAGTGATCTGTGGTTCGCACTAATCTAGTCACACATTACCGAATGAAAGGAATGAATGAAACGCTTGTGGTTTTCCTTGTCTCTAATAGTACTAACCAGCAATGGATGGTTGGTCGAAGTGGCCA